AAATAAAATAAAATGAAATCTTAAAAAAAAAAGTTATAGCTTTATGAAGTATAGTTAATGTGTAGTAAATAGCATGTTTAAAACTTACAAGTTATAGTTTTTGATTTGAGCATCTTTTCACGTGCTTTTATACTATCTCTCTTTTGTTAAAGTGTTTACTCAGATCTCCAGCTCATTTTTTTATTGAGTTGTATGTCTCTTACTGGGTTGTAAGAGTTCCTTAGATAATAAGCCTTTGTTAGGTATATGGTCTGCATATATTTTCTCCTAGTCTGTTGCTTATTTACTCATTTCATAATAGTCTTTTGAAGAGCAAATTTTAAAATTTTCACGAAGTCCAATTTATAAACTTTTATACTTTGTGCTTTTTGTCTCATATCTAAGAAATCTTAGCCTAACTCAAGATTTTATCCCATTTTTTTTATATTTTAGTTCTTAAGTCAGTGATCCATTTTGAATTAATTTTTGTATATGGTATCAATATAGGGTTCAGTTGGGGTTTTTTGTTTGTCTGCATATGGCTATACACTTATTCTAGCACCTTTTGTTAAAAAACACTGTCCTTTCCCCCATTGAATTGCCCTTCTCATCTTTGTCAAAAAATGATCGTATATATGTGTGGGTTTATGGACTCTTTTTGATTAATATGTCTTTCTTTACACTAATATTTTCTGTCTTAATGATTACTATAGCTTTGTAAGTCTTGAAATTGCATGGTATAAATTCTTAAACTCTGTTCTTTATAGTTGGTTATTTCAGGTCCTTTGTGTTTCCACACGTTTGTTTTGTTTTTGTTTTTTAATTTTTTAAATTTTTTTATTTTTAACATGGGAAGGATCTATGGCAGAGAGATCCACATAAGCTTTGTTTATTTATTTACTTATTTTTAAGTTTATTATTTATTTTAGTAATCTCTACACCCAATGTGGGGCTCAAACTCACAACCCTGAGTGGCATGCTTTTCTGACAAAGCGCCCCAAGATCCATATAAGTTTTAGAATCAGTTTGTCACTTTCCGTGAGGAAAGCTGCTGGGATTTTAATTGGATTTGCGTTGGCTTTATGGATCATTTCGGAGAAAATTGACATCCTAACAGTATTGAGTATTCAAATCCACGATCTCTCTATTTGTCTTAAATTTCTTTCCGCAGTGTTTTACAGTTTTTGTATATTGCCCTTGTAGCCTGCAGCCTTGTTAAATTTAGTTAGTTCTGTTAGTTGTTTTGTAGATCCCTCAGAATTTTCTATGTAGATGGTCGTGTTGTTAGCATATAAAGACTTAGTTTATTTCTTCCTTTCCAGTCTCTATACCTTTTTCTTAGGTAGGACCTCCAGTATAAAGTTAAATAGAGGTAGTGAGATTAGACATCCTTGACTTGCTTCTGGTGGTGGGGTGAAAGTATTCACTCTTTCACCATTAACTTTGATGTTAGCTATGTTTGTTATAGATATAGTTTATCAGGTTGAGGGAAGTTTCCTTCTATTCCTGGTTTGCTGAGTTTTTATCATGAGGGAATTTTGTCAGATTTTCTACATCTGTTCAGATGAACATTGGTTTTCTTTTTTATTGAATTATATTGGTTGGCTTTTTAATGTTAAACCAACCTTGCATTCCTGGGCTAAAACTTTTACTTGGGTTATTATCAGTGCATTTTATGTATTGTTGGGTTTGATTTGCTAAAATTTTGTCAGGAATTCTTGGGTCTGTGTTCATGAGGGATATTGGTTTGTAGTTTGTCTTTTGTCTTCTCATAATGTCTTTTGACTGGTTTTGGTATAAGGTTAATGCTGGCCTCACAGTGAATTGGGAAGTGTTTCTTTCACTTCCGTTTTCAGGAAGAGTTGTTTTGTTTTTTAAGATTTTATTCATTTATTTGACAGGGAGAAAGAGAGAACAAGCAGGGGGAGTGGTAGGCAGAGGGAGAGGGAGAAGCAGGCTCCTTGCTGAGCAAGGAGCCCAATGCAGGACTCAATCCCAGGACCCTGGGATCATGACCTGAGCCAAAGGCAGCTGCTTAACGACTGAGCCACCCAGGCGCCCCTCAGGAAGAGTTTGTATAAAATTGGTATTACTTCTTTTTTTTTTTTTAAGATTTCATTTATTTGAGAGAGAGAGATCACGAGCAAGGGGGAAGGGTAGAGGGAGAAGCAGACTCCCTGCTGACCAGGGAGCCTGATGTGGGACTCGATCCCAGGACCCTGGGATCATGACCTGAGCTGAAGGCAGAGGCTTAACCAACTGAGCCACCCAGGAGCCCTAAAATTGGTATTTTTCTTCCTTAATGTTTGATGATATTCACCAATGAAGCTACCTGGACCTAGAGCTTTCTTTGTGGGAAGTTTTAAACTACAGATTCAATTTAATTAATGGATAAAGGACTACTCAAGTATCTATTTCTTCTTTTTTTTTTTTAAATAATAAAAAGTTTGATTACTACACGAAGTTGGTAGGATACAATAATTTGCTATAAAATATTTATCACATCTTTATTTCATGGAAATAAATTTTTGTAACAGTGATAATATATATTTCAGTGTTTCATTTTTTTCAGAAATGGTCACTAGTTTTGATGTTCTTGTGACATTGAAGGTCTTTAGCAGATTAAAGTATTGTTTAAAATTTTAAAACAGTCTCAAAATTACTGAAAAATGCTATTATGGCACAAAGCAGGTCCGAACCATTTAAGATTAAATTATCCATTTCTTTTTTTTAAGATTTTATTTGAGAGCATGAGAATGTGGGGGCAGGGGGATTCGTCGAGGGAGAGGAAGAGGGAGTTTCAAGCAGACTGTATTGAGGGCAGAGCCTGATGAGGGGCTTGATCCCATGACCCTGAGATCATGACCCAAGCCAAGACCAAGAGTCAGACACTCAGCTGACTGCACCACCCAAGCGCTCCCATTTATTCTTTAATGAGCTTTAGTAGGTTTTGTCTTTCTAGGGATTTGTCCCTTTTACCTTAGGGGTTGACTATATTGATATAAGGTTGTTCATTATATTTCTTTGTTAGTCCTTCAATGACTGTAGTATTTGTAGTGATTGTTATTAATCCTTAATAATCCTATTAATCCTGTTATTGGTAATTTGTAGCTTCTTTTTTTCCTGACAGTTTGGCTAGAAGCATATCAGGTTTATTGATTTTAAACAACCAGCTTTTGGTTTTAATGATTTTTCTTCTGTTTTCTAGGTCATTGATTTCTGTCCTTCCTCTTTTTCCTTCTATGTAGTTTGGGTTTAATTTAATTTTCTTTTTCTATGTGGGTACTTTTTTATTTAAGATGGAAATTTAGTCATTAATTTCAGACTTTTCTATTACATGTGTTGAGTTCTATAATTTCTTTGTAAGTGCTTCCTTAGCTCCATAGCACATTTTTTTTTTTTTAGCTGCAAGGGAAACTGATAAATGGAATTTTTTGGCTGGACAGGTTTTCTTTTATAGACATGATTAGGATTCTGTAAGTAAGAAATCAGAGGAGAATGGATATTGGATAGGAAGCCAGTAGTGTCTGCCACAGAGACGGTCTTTAAAATCAAGTTACATACTGTGCAATGTCATTATTGTAAACCTACAGTCCACCTAAAAGCCATTGCAGGTCATGTGGGCACTTTACTTGCCCTTTTTTGGTGGTAGATTAGCCTTAGGTTTATTCAACATTTTTTTCTTAAATTTTTTGTTTTATGATTAGCTGTACATAGTAAAAGTTGAAATGAGGTTCCTTTAGTTTTTTGTTAGTGACCCATACTTTTTACCTTTTTATTGTGGAAAATTTTCAGCATATTCAAAAGTAGAAGGAATTTATTGAGCCTCTATGTATCCATTAACTAGTTTCAGTAATCATTGCAGGTGGCCAGTCTTGTTTCATTCATACCTCATCTTAGTCACATTATTTTGAAACAAATCTCAGAATTCATTTTTTCATTCATTAATACTTTGGCATGTATCTTTAAAAGATAAAGACTCTTGGGACACCTGGGTGGCTCAGTCGGTTAAGCGTCTCCCTTCAGCTCAGGTAGTGGTCTCAGGGTCCTGGGATCAAGCCCCACGTCGGGCTCCCTGCTTGATGGGGAGTCTGCTTCTCCCTTTCCCTCCGCCTGCCGCTCCCCCCTGCTTATGTTCTTTCTCTCCCTCTCTCTCTCTGTCAAATAAATGAATAAAACCTTTTTAAAAAAAAGATAGACTATTTTTTTAAAACACAATCACAATACCAGTGATACACCCTTTAAAAAATTAGCAGCAATTCCTAGTATCATGAGATGTCTAGTATTCAACTTTTGATTACCTTACAAAGTTTTTTTTTAATAATTTGAGTTAGATCGAAATAAGTTCCACTCAGACAACCCATATTTTGCAACTCAATCAGTTTAGCAATATTTGTGACAGAACTTTACCTGGGGGAAAACTGTTGAAATTTGCATTTCTCATGATCACAGTGAAACCCTTCATTGTAATTAAGTTTGGAGAAACATAGTTGTTGGTTTTTCCTATTCATTATATGCTGTTTTGTTTTGGTTCAAATGTTAGGGGCGCCTGGGTGGCTCAGTTGGTAAAGTGGCTGCCTTCGGCTCAGGTCATGATCCCAGGGTCCTGGGATCGAGTCCTGCATTGGGCTCCCTGCTCAGCAGGGAGCCTGCTCTCTTGCTCTCCCTCTGCTCTTCCCCCGGCTGTGCTCTCTCACTCTCTCTGTCAAATAAATAAAATCTTTAAAAAACAAAACAACAACAAAAAACAAATGTTCGAGATCTGTTACGTTTTTTGCAAAATGATGATTACTGAGTTTATTGATATCCTCCTCTGTGTCAAAGCAGCGCTAGTTGAAGAATATAGTGATGAGTGAGGTAGACATCCTTTTCTGTGTTGAGTCATTTTAAAAACTAATGTTTTGGCTTTATATTTAAAACCTTAATTCTTGTATTTTTCTGGGCCGGGAATAAACTGTTTTCTTGATTCTATTCATTTTGCTATAAAGGAAACCTGCGCTTGCAACACCATTATGCCAGGTGGTAGTTTTTGTTTTTAAAATATACATTCCAACTTGGCTGTGTAAGACAAAGTTGTTGCACTCAAATAGCTTAAACTTTACTCTAGTAAAGAGATACATTCTGCAGAAAGTAATATTGGCAAGCTGACTGTTATATTTCTTTTTTTTTTTTTAAGACTTTATTTATTTATTTGAGAGAGAGAGGATGAGTGGGGAGAGAGAGAAGCAGGCTCCCCACTGAGCAGGGAGCCCGACGTGTGGGACTCGATCCCAGGACCCTGGGATCATGACCTGAGCCGAAGGCAGACGCTTACCCGACTGAGCCACCTAGGCGTCTTGAGTGTTAAATTTCTTATGTCCTGTTTGACTTTATCTATTTTTTGATTTAACTGTTTTCTTTTTCTTTCCACCCACGTTTTATGACTGCATCTCGCAGGAGAGCCTTATAGATGCAAGTGAAGACAGCCAGCTAGAAGCTGCCATCAGAGCCTCCTTGCAAGAGACACACTTTGATTCAACACAGACAAAACAGGATAGCCGCTCAGATGAAGAATCTGAATCTGAACTTTTTTCTGGCAGTGAGGAGTTCATATCCGTTTGTGGCTCTGATGAAGAAGAGGAGATAGAGAATCTTGCCAAGTCCAGAAAATCTCCCCACAAAGATTTGGGGCATAGAAGAGAGGAGAACAGAAGGCCACTAACTGAACCCCCAGCCAGAACTGAGCCTGGAGCAGCCACAAACCACCAAGGATTGCCAGCCGTGGATTCAGAAATATTGGAGATGTCACCTGAAAAATCAGATGGAATAGTGGAGGGCATAGATGTAAATGGTGAGTTACATTCTAGACCTGCTTTACTTAAAACTTGAATGTTACTGAAGGGGTTTGTTTATTTGTTTAAGTTAGTCTCATGTCTTAAGCTCTTTTTTTCTTTTTTTTTTAACCCTTCCTTTAGGACCAAAAGCACAGCTGATGTTGCGGTATCCAGATGGAAAAAGGGAACAGATCACTCTTCCAGAGCAAGCTAAACTGTTGGTAAGTATATCTGATTGGAGGTGTTTACTAGAAGCAGAGAAACTAATTAATTGGCATAATTGGCTTTGTGAATCTTTGAAATAGATGGTATTCAGTCTGGCCTCTAACTGGAAACTTAACTGTGGTGCATCTTTGGATTACTTTATTTCCTTGTCAGATTATCTTAGGCAAGTCACATAGGGTTTGTCTAGTCAAGATTTTCTATTCCATGGCTGCATGGTATAGAAACCCAACTGAAATTATTACCTGGAAAAGGGGAGTGGAGTTATTTATAGTATCCGTGGGGCTCCTGGGTGTCCTAGTAGCTGACCCTGCAAAGTGGTTGAAAACCGAAAGTATTTTTCTGTGTGTTTTTCTCATGGGGCCTGTTTTGTTTCCCTTTTGTGATTTTCTGCTTCATACCATTCTTCTCTGTGTATACTGGTGGGTTTTGTTTACCTCTCAACTTGTACATGGTTCATCATAGTGATGCTGAGGGCCTTTTCATCTAAAGTCCACAGCTAATGGGCTTCCCTCTGTTCCTGACTCCTGGAAAAGAGAATGGGTCTGACTAGCTTAGCTTAGCCTATGAGTGAATCCCCCTTGGGTCAGTTGTCCACACCTAGCCACTTGCTGTGGCTGGAGATAATTAACCTGATTCTTCAAGACTGGATGACTGAAGTGCAAGAAGGTTCTGATACCCAGAACTATCTTCCTGGTCTAGTATTTGGATGGGAATGGGAGATGAGATTGTGGATAGAACAAGTATAGATCACTTCTTTGAGAAGTTTGGTTGTGAAGCTAGAGGGAGCGAATGGGCAATAATCAGAGGGGAAAAATGACTGAAGGAGAGAGTGAGCATCTTTAAGTCTGAGGGGAATCATCTGTAGAGAGTGAGATGTTGAAGGTACCTATAAAAGGGGATATCATAGTGGCGCGGTTTTGGAGAAGGAAGAAGGGATTCAATGCGCAGGTGGCACGGATGTCTGCAGGTGGACTGAAGGACAGATTGTTGATAAAAAGGAAAAATGGTAAAATGTTTAAAAAGAGGATGATAATTTTACAGATAGAAATTGAGTTTGTGTATTTGGGAGACAAACATAATCCTGTATATTTCAGTATCACTTAATGGCCCTAAATTATTGGGTGCAGGTTTATTATCGTCCCATCCAAAGAGTTATATTGGCCCTTCCACAAGGGTAAGCTTTGGTTGTGTGAAAGCGTAACTAAAATTGGGGTGCCTCGGTGGCTCAGTCGGTTAAGCGTCTGCCTTCGGCTCAGGTCATGTTCCCAGGGTCCTGGGATTGAGCCCCACATTGGGCTCCCTGCTCTGCCCCTCCCCCAGCTGATGCTGTCTCTCCCACTCACTCTCTCTCTCAAATAAATACAATCTTTAAAAAAAAAGAGTAACTTCGTATCTTATCTGATATGATAGAAATGAATATAAGATATTTAATTCTTTAATATATTCTTTCTTTGTATTTCCATCTAACAGCTTTGTCTTTCTCTTATTTTTCATAGGCTTTGGTGAAGCACGTCCAGTCTAAAGGATATCCAAATGAACGTTTTGAACTTCTCACCAACTTCCCTCGAAGGAAACTCTCTCATCTGGACTATGACATTACATTACAGGAGGCAGGCCTTTGTCCTCAAGAGACTGTCTTTGTACAGGAAAGAAATTAACATCATGGCCTGACCTCTCTCAGTTTACCCCTTTTTTCCCTTTCCTGTGAGATACCATGTCACTAAGTATGCATTTTGGCTCATAGGACCATAGAGCCAAAGTTGGGCAAGCAAGTCACCTGCCTTCTCTTTTATTTCTTGCTCTCTCCTATATTCAGTCTCTTTTCCCCCTCCCCCCACCTTTTCAGTCCTCTTCTATTTTCTTCTTTTTCCTACTATTCTTTCTTTCTTACCTAATCTGGTGACCAAATGGAAGTGTAAGGATTAGACCTCCTAGTACTGGCAGCAGGAAATGTGTGTTCCAATAAGTGGTCTCTTGCACGGCACTTTTTTGGGATCAAATGATAATGTTACTCCTCAGATCCTTTGGTAAAGGAATGGCTAGATTCAGAATAAGAACAACCTCCCTTTTTTGTAAGCCCCATTTTTGGTAGGGTAAAGAAACTCTATAACACATGTTTTGTTTTGTTGTTCATGTAAGAAATATCACGTGACAAAATATCCAGGCTTCCGTTTACATGGAAAAAGCATCCCTTATAATTATTGCTCATCATATTTAAAATTTTTTTCAATGGATTCCCATGTTCCCAGCTAGAATTATTTCCATGGTATGTGTTATTGGCAGAAAGAGTGTTAAATGTAGGGTGAGTAGCATGGGGTGGCTTTCAATATCCTAGCCTGAAACAGCTTTCTTCATTATTACTTTATAAACTGTATTGATCCTGCTAGTCCTGAAAGGGACATTTAGTGAGGCTCTTGTGGTGATTAGAATAGGAAGGTGCTTGCTGTTTTTGCCAGTACAGCATACTAGTTCCCTTGGCCCTTCCATTGTTTGGGTCCACAAGTGATCAATGGGAAGGCAGCTGTTCAATAATCATGCAGTCCAGTGGCTTGTAGTTGTAACCACTATGGTTATTGATCGTCCTATGGGCTTTAAGGCATACTTATGTATGTCCTGGGGGGAAAGAGAAGAAGATGCAGCTGAGAGTTGCTAACCATGTTCCTGCGGTTAGAATGATTCATTTTTTTTACCCCCGGTTGGAATAGTTTCTAAAAGGCTCTGGTGACTGAATGAGCTTAAATTCCTCTACTGTTTTCTTGCAAAAGGTATCAAAACTGAAAGCCTCTGTAAGGGGAAGATCTTTAAATTCAATTTATAAGACAACATTTAGTAAGGGAGGTGGAGAAGATTATCAGCAGTCTTCAGATGTTGTGGGGTTTTTCTGCCAACAAAAGCCACATTCAAAATGTAGTTGGTGAAAGCTTTTTTCCGTATTACTTAGAAGAGGCCATCTTGAATCTATGTAATACTGTTTGACTTAGCACCTTCACTGGATGCTCAATTCTTATTTTGAGCTTTAGGGTCCTCTGAAGGGGTAGTAATGATTCTGGTGGCAAAATCAGAATTTTAACCTTGTTATATAGAATGGGCCTATTTTGTCAATTGGGGATTTGGATCGATCGATTCTTCTACTTGAGGAACATAAATTGCTATTGCTCAGAGACCTTTAGGTTCCCATCTACTTTAAGATCACTCTCTTGGCAACTAGGGGATTAAAAAAAAAGATGCTCATGTGTTGCTAGTACACAATTAGAGAATATGGTTTCTAATGGTTGGATTTAGAGGGATCCTTCCTAAAGAATGAGTTATGTATCTCCTCAAGGAAATCATGGAAAATTCTGTTTATTCTTCAGTGAGTCCTTTTGAATTAATGTTCTTACATTTTTTTCTAAGTCTGTGTAAGTGCTTATGTATAAGTATATAATTGTATAAATATTTATAAATATATTTATATAATTACAATTTCATTTATACCTTGAGTCAAAGTTCTCTCTTTAGATTGGTGACTGAGTAATACCATTTCGGTGTTTTTTCATAGGCTCTCGAGTAACTAGCAGCTTCTGATTTACTGAGGAGACGTGGTTTTCATGTTAGTTCCTCAGTTGTATCTCTCAACTTGGATAATGTACTTGCTATCTGAGGAATAGAGCTCTATAGTAGCAAAGGTGCAGTAGAGGGTTAAAAACATGTTGAGTAGACAAGGTCAGAAATGCAAAAATTCAGGGAGGCACAGGGTAAGAACTGCGGGCATGCCCAGCTTTGGTGCTGTGATGGCAGCGCCCCGCTCTCTGCAGTCACAGCTGAAGCCCAAATCTGTCAAAAATGTGAAGTCTAGAATTTTCCCTGTGGGACTCTTTCATCCTTTTGCTTACTAACTTCTCTTTGCAAAACGTCTCAAGAACCTGAGGCATGTTCATTAATGATAGGATGTAGTTCTGCCTTTTTGATGAGGTCAGCCGTGGCATATCCATTTATGAGAAACCAAAGGGACTTTTCAACATGGCTTTTACTGTGAGATGACCCGAGTATGTATAAAATGATTCGAGTAAGCATATCAAAGACTTAGGGCATGAGATACTGATCCAACTTAGGTACAGCGGGTGTGTCTAGAGTACAAGATGTTGAGGATTTTCTTTTATTGTGAGGCAGAAGTGTAATTATCCCTGGTTTGATACAGAGGCCCATGGGGAGAGTAAATAAGGAGTATCGCTTCGCTCATGAACTTAATTCACTAAAGGAGTAAGCTTCCTCCAGTTTGTCTTATTTCCTCTGCAAATTCCTTTGCTCTGTGGAGGAGAGATTTTATTGAATAGATTAAATGAAGCTAGTAAGATTAGTTAAAAATAGCCGTTCCTTGTAGGTGTTGGAAACAGCTCGAAAGAACAGGGGGGTTGGAAAAGGACAAGAGAGACTTTGAGAGTGACAAGAAACAAATACAGGGAGATGGAATGAAAACTAGTGGGGGAAGAAAGTGACAGGAAACACCTTTTGATTTTAATTTAGAAAGGAACCAGAGAAGAGAGAGAACAGCCAAATGAGGGAAGAATGGGAAACTAATTTTGAGTAACTAGCATGTGCTAGGTACTTCCTGTGCATTTTCTCCTTTAATCTTCCTAAGAACTCTACAAAGTGTATATTCTCCCCATTTTGTAGATAGGACACAATTGAAGTTTAGAGAATATGTTCAGGATGTCAAAGCTAGTAATTGGCAAAATCAAAATTGGCATCCAGAGTCCATGCTTTTTTCACTCTCTTGCTGTTGTCTCCTACAACAGGGGAATCAGTTTACCCAAAAGGTTATCTTCCTGTTGTTTGGCTCTGTAAATTATCATTTGGTTTTGTTTCCTTAAAGCTTGTGGGATTTGCACTATGCCTATAAATTCTTACTTACACCACTGTTTTGAGGGACTGATGATTGCTTTTTAAAAAAATGATGCACTGATGAAAATGTGAAAGGAAAATATGTGGCATTATTTGCCAAGAATAAATGGAAAGGGTAAAAAATAATTTTATCTTTTTTTAACCATTTTTGGGAAAAGATAGAGTTATCTTTTCTTTGTCCCACCCATACCAGATTATTGAACTCTCTATGTGTATGTTTTTAAATCTCCTATAACATTCTACTTCCTTGACTCTAAAAGTCAACAAGTATTTACTGAGTCCTTAATCAAAGTTGGAAATATCTTGAAGTCTAATACCTGGTTTCTTCTGTTTTATCCAGTTGGAAAGATACACTACACATGAGATAATTGAAGAACATGTAAATGCTTACCTTTTTGGTGCTGAACAATAATTACAGTAAAAGTTTAGAAAGGGGAAAGACTTAGGCTTTCATTAGGAAAGTCCACAAAAAAATAAATAAATAAATAAAACCGAAAAGTGGCAAACACTGTAGCTCAAAGTTTTTGACTCACCTGTATTCATTCCTTTAGTTCCACCTTTTGTAACTACTAGACTTAGGGCATGACTTTTATCAGTAAGGTACACCCAGCACCCAAGTAGGAAAGGATTATTGATCCTAGGACTAAAGATTTTAGCTAGCAAGGATCTCACTTGGACACTTAGGAAAATACCAGAGGGAGCCACTAGGAACTGGAAAGTGAAGGAAAGATTTCATTTCTCTCCCCAGGTACAAATCAAATGTATAAAGGGGCACTATGTGTAGGCATAAGTGCACTTGGGTAACAGCGCTGCTGCTAATAGAGAATTGGACTAGATCAATAGTTCTCAGTCTTTTCAAGTAAAAGGACTTAAAATATTAAAATTCGCCAAGAGTGGGGAATTGTGGGGTTAATTATTAATAACATTAAGTCCATAGATGAGGAAAATGTAAATGTGCGTATGGAATTGCAGACCCTTTGCAAAAACTCCAGGAACCCACAGACTGTAGACCACCAAATTAGATTATCTTTGAAGTTCTTTCCACTCTAAAATTTTATACTTCTAATTTCTTCTCTTTATATTATCCCTAGGCTAATTAAAAATTTTCTTGTTAATCACTTCCGGTATTTTTTTTTCTGTTTCCAAGTTTCATTTGCCCAGTAACTTAATCTAACCTCACTGTGATGACTAAAATCTCCAAAAAGGAAAATATCGTAGTTCTAGATCTAGTAATGAGCTTTTAAACACAATTCATAATATTTAAAAACTTCAGGCTGTGTTTCTAATCGGTGTTAAGTATGACTAAAATGTAATTAATGAGAATCAAATATTTCACTGACACCAGAGTTAAATTTATTTTACCTGTGTGCTTAAACAAAGCACTTTACTGGCTGAGCAGTTGTTAGGAAATTGATTTGTGTAAGTTGTAGAATTCACACTTGGTTTTGGCAGGAACAACTTTTTCAAGATTCAATTAGGCTGACTTTCAAAAATATTTCTTATCTCACAGAGTATATCTCTATTAGGTCATTCATATTCTCTCTGTCTCTGGCCCTCTTTGAGTTAACTACTCAGTAGTAAATCATAGGATGCTGGTTGATGAGTAAGTGATGGCTTGTGTCAAACTAAATGAGAGTAGGAAGAACCAACCTTACTGATGAACGTGGCAGTTGTCCAGTATTACAAGCCTTAATGAAAAGGCTACTTAAAGACAGCTGTGTCCCATGAATATTCAGCTTCATTGATTTGCCTTGCATAGCATATCAATTATTGTCTTGACTTGAAACTTAGTATTGCATTGTACACGGTTTAGACTGGTGGCAAGAATGTTCTTTCGTACAGAAAATAACCAACAGAATATCAAGGCACTATCTTGATTTCTCCAATTCTATAGAAGTTTAGTATTTTAGTCTTTGACTGAACACTACTAGAGAGACAGCTTAGAATCAAGAATATTTTTTTATAGAGATTTTGACAACCTTGATAGTTTGCCCATGAAGTGAACTTGTGATTAAATTACTGGATGTGATGATGAGACTGTTAATTAGAAATCGTTTCATCCTACATTCTCTTTTACTTTGTCATTCTCTATTCTCAATTTTTTTGGACATCCATTCACTGAAAATTAGTCATGATTTTTAATGAAATTAACTATAAGAAATTCCATTTCTAAGTTTGAATAACACTTAAAAATTTTTTCATAAAATATAAGGGAACAATTTGAAACAATAGTTTCAAAACAAGTGTTTTCATAGCTCATTTTCTCTCTCTACCTAAAAATTCTTATTCCAAATATAGAACAGCTAGCACCTTGATACCCCTCCCCTTTCTTTGGCCTACAGAATGCTGTTGTACTGCTTAGAGTCTCAGTCATTCTCCTAAACATGATCATTTTTGGTTCAAGCCTTTCTTTGCCGTATGATCTCCTAGTAGAGTTGGGCAGTCCAATATGAACTACTTCAGTAAAACGATTTAACATTTCAGAAAATTATTTTCAAGAGATGGCCAGGTTTACTTGGATTAGAGATACAAATACCAATGGTAGTATTTTGCCCAAGAACAATCCCACATTAATCTCTAAATATGGGGAAGTTGCCTTGTTGTACTTAATTCTGTGGCCACAAACAGCAAATTTTTGTTGTTTGCTTATTGGTATTTCCTGTATAGAGATCAAAATGCCCTGAGATTTTTATATCCCTTACGGGGTCACTTAAGTTTTCAAATAGGAAGAATAGTGAAGCTACATGGGACTGAACATAAGAAAAATTTTATCTGTATCAAAACAAGTTATTAATCTAACTGGGCTACCATGAATCATTCATTTATAATATGTGGTAAATAAAATGGGAAGCATTTCAAATCACTGGATAGTTCTGACCTGGAATTCTCCTTTTCTTAAAATCTTTTTTATTTGCTTTTTTCATAGACTCAGTAAGAGCATCTTAACTAATAAGGGAGAGATTTTGGTCTGGAGCTATTCCCTGCCATTCTTTTTTTTTCTTTTGTCAAGCTCGCTGGTTTTAGAAGAGTACATGTCACTAGATTTCTGTTTCAAATTAATGACACTGCAATGCTGATGCTCAGAAAACTGCTTTCAACAAAATGGTTTGATAGTATGTTCTCAGATCTCTGTGTTCTTAATAATGGAAAATATCAATACATTAAATGGTGTGATTCAAAATATTAAATAGGTTTTTTACCCTAATCATATGTTCTTAACAACTTTTTGATTTATTGCCCTGTAAGTTAAACCTCACATGAAGTTACCATTGCCACCAGAAAATCCCCTTTTACCTGCTAATTAGAATGAAAGTAGTATGTGACCTCCACTTTTTAGTTAATGAGTGTAGCAAGCTTGTACTAGCGGCTGTTTATCTTACCCATTTTGGGACTTGGGCCTTGTTACTTTCTAATGTTTGTCCCTTCAGTTTTGGAAAGGCTATTTCAAACTCTTGCTGGGAAACAGACAGTGAAGCTCTGATAGAATCCTCTAGACTTAGATACAGAGAGATGAGTACCAGTTGATGCTAACATGATACTTGGACTTTGAGGGGCTTTCATCCAAGCTTTGGCATGAATCTGTTAGATACAATTTTTTCACTCCTTTAAAAATCTTTTCGGTTTTCCTTTTGATTGTTAACAACTTCTAAGCATCTGGTGTCTTTTTTTTTTAACCCTTTAAGAAAAGTCCTTTTTTGAGTAGGTATTGATTGTTCCATGGATACTCTCAGGAGTGTTTGTAGGCTCTGCATGCTTTGTCATTAGTTTGAATAATGCGTTTTGAATCATCTGGGATGTCCCGATTCTGGCATGTCCTCACTAATTGTGTTTTTAAAACATTTTTCATGTCATTTTCCAATTCCCATCTTATTCAGAGAGGTTAATCAAGGAATGAAATTTGTTTGGGGAATAGGGATGGGGGTGGGTTGGGGACTCGAGTGAAGTCAGCTTGGGGTATTTGCTTTAAAGTGTTTCTCAAGCAGTTCCTAACAGTATTTAGAGATTCCCTGGGAATCCTTCATTCTGGACAAAGTGGCGGTCTTAGTGAGATTTGCGTTTTTAATGCAGGACAGGCTCGAAATTTAATCTGTAGTGTAATTTAGTTATTGAATCCAAGAAGATAATGGACAGAGACAGTGCTCCTATTGTAATGTTTCTGGCAAGTGCTCCCTAAAATGCACATATAGTTGTCAGTTTTCTGGGCTTTTAATCCCATGGTGCTAGGAGATAATTTGTTTCTGCAGTTCTTCTCAAAAGTGGGAGGAAGGGTTTGGGACCAGTGAGCAAGGGGCAACTGGATCATCCACTAAATTTTTTTGTTCACAACACACTAGAGACCCTCCTGTATATCTAGTAAGTGATAATTAAGGTGCTAGGGAAAGCCTTAAATTTGAAGACACATGGAGGCCGTAGAAAATCTAAACTTGGAGGAGAAAAACATGCCATTAGGTGAAGCAGAGCTGTAACTGCTGGCTAAGACTCAATGGAACTTCCACTTGCTCTAAAACCAGGGAAATCTTAGATAACTGGGTGTGATATATCTATAGATACACATACTCTATAGGTAAATAATTAAAAAGAGGGTCTTTCAGTTGGTGATCCTCTGGTTTTGGCTGTACCAAATTGTGAATATCCTTGCTGTGTTGTACCCAGTTGCTTTATATTGGTACTGCAACTTGAATGGGGGTGGGGTGGGTCATTTGGGGTGGGGGAGGGAGGGGAGTGGGATAAGTCTTTTGAAGACATCAGCTCACTGTGCTGAGAGAGGGACCAAACTCAAGGAAACCTCTGATCTATAAATTCAACTGCTGCATTTTTTTATAAATACATGTAAATGTCCTGTTGTAATATTTGATCTTGGAAATAAAATCAAAAACTTTTCAGTATTAGTTTTTTTTTTTTTTTGGTATTGTTTTTGTGAGATAAGACTCCCTAGGTATTATTTCAGTTAATATAATTCAGGTTTCAAGAGCTTGCCCTCATATTCTCATGTTTAGGGCACTGAAGTGTATTTATTGACATAGGTTAATTCATCGCATTATCAAGGATAATTTTGCTAGATTCTCTGCTACTAGTAGTATGTTGAACATTGATGGTAATTGCTCTGTAAATGTTGGTCGCGTCATGAAATCACTGGGTGAGTTAGCTTTTTAGGAAAGTAGGAGTCTAGAACTCATATTTGGGCAATTCCAGCATGTAGTCTTTCAGACCAGGAATAATGACTAAGGACACAACTCTAATAAGAAAAAAGGAATTTTTAAATTAATGGGAGAAAAGCCAGGAGATAGATTATATTGTGTTATAGAAATTGAGATCACTGCCTAGCTCACAGTAACCCCAGGAATCAGTTTGTTATTCCTCTTCTTCTTGTGGAACTATTTCTCATCCCCATGCTTCAGCAATGTATCCTGATGGAACTTGCCATCTTCTTCCAAGACCTTGTCTCCCTGGCCACATGGACCAGCCAAGGGGTGGGCATAAATACTAAATTGGGTTGAGAGATTCTTTCCCATTCTTCCAGCCACAGAATGCTTATCCTTAACCTTAACTAGCCTCACTGTGTGCCAAATATAGAAATATGGTGATGAGCAAAACGTACACAGTCCTGTCCTCAGGGAACTTATTTTCAGTGAATGCAGACAATAAACAAATGAAAAATACTGATTTGATTCAAAGACTGTGGAAAAAAAAATAGAAAAGCAGATAATTCTGCTTTATTTTTATTATTTTTTTAAGATTTGTTTATTTATTAGAATGGGGGGAGGAGAGGGAGACAGTCTTAAGCAGACTCTGTCGGGCGCCTGGGTGGCTCAGCTGTTAAGCATCTGCCTTCAGCTCAGGTCATGATCCCGGGGTCCTGGGATCGAGCCCCGCATCAGGCTCCCTGCTCGGTGGGAAGCCTGCTTCTCCCTCTCCCACTCCCCCTGCTTGTGTTCCCTCTCTCGCTGTCTCTCTCTCTGTCAAATAAATAAAATCTTGGGGAAAAAAAGCGGATTCTGCCGAACACGGAGCCCAACACGGGATCTCATGACCCTGAGATCATGACCTGAGTCGAAACCAAGAGTTGGACACTTAACCCACTGTGCCACCCAGGCGCCCCAAGAATTCTGCTTTAAAT